AGAAGAGTCCATGTGTGAATCCAGTTTTGAGATTAGTTTCTAAAATGCAGAGCCTTTTATAGCTACAGGGAGCCATACATCTTAGCCAGAGTCCCTTCTGCAATAAATACTGATCTTTGGAATATTTCTGAAGTTCTTCCTGCAGAAATACTCGCACTAATGTGTGGGAGGCCCTACTCTGAAATGACAGAATTGTATAAACTAAAACATACCAGAAAAAAACCAAAACAACAACAATTATGATGTGATCATGATACAATAGGTAAGAGTGAAAATCAAATTTTGAAAGTTTAACAATGAGATTGCTAGCAAAATTCTGATGGAAAAAATGGGAAAAGTGCCATATTTGAGGGAAGATTCCACAGGTGCTTATTATTAAGACCTGTGCCAGTTTATACAGGAAAAAAACTTCCTTGAAGTATAAAATGATCATGGTAATTAGCAAATATTAAAGATAGAGGTAATTTATGAAATTAAAACTAAAATTTTATGCCCTATTATAACACTCGTTGCAAATGTGAAAAGCATAATTATTTCGATAATTCATTTGTACATGAATTTGCAACAAGCATTTATTTGAAAAAGTCAAATAAGCCCTTTTACCTTAATAAACCTTATGTGGACATCCAACTGGGTTTGCTTTTGTTTGTTTTTTTTAAATGATGGAACTAAGGTGCAATGAAAGGCTGCATATTAAATGGCTAGAATACATGTTATATACAGGGTTTTCATAAAGTTCTTGTTCACTTTTAAACTTTAATAACGTAGGTTGTAGGTATGATAGAAACAATCTGTAAATGGCATTTAAAAGCAAATTTCTTAACGTTTTAGGACAACTAGAGGACACAATGCTAGACTTCAACATAACCACTATCCATCATGATATAGTGCTGAATCCAATCTTCCAACTCCTTGAAAACGTTTCCCAGTTGCTCTTGAGTTACTGCACTAATTGCTTTGGTGATCCTAACTCTAAGTTCCACCAAAGAACGTGGTTTTGACAAGTAAACTACACTTTTAACATGTCCCATAAAAAGAAGTCCAACAGTGGCAGGTCACTTGAATGAGGTGGCCAAGCAATTGGTCCACCTCTGCCTATCCACTTCTCTGGGAAAACATCATTTAGAAACTGTCGTACATTCAGAGCGTAGTGACACAGAGCTCCATCTTACTTAAAAATAAATTCGTTATTACTTATGATGTCTAGCATTGTGTACTCTAATTGTCCTAAAACTTTAAATAAATTTGCTTTTAAATGCCGTTTACAGATTGTTTCCATCATACCTACAACCTAAGTTATTAAAGTTTAAAAGTGCACAAGGTACACTTCACTTACAAGACTTATGGCTCGCTGCAAGGTTGTTACTTGCGTAAATAAATAGCCAAAGAATTTATTGCAAATACAAAGAATATATTGTTGCAATGAAATAATGAGACTGCAATGTAAAACTGATTCTTGCATCAGTTTTATACTGGGTTTTCAGATGTGACTGTGATAAAATTCACAATTTATGTCATCATTCTGCAAAACAGTGTCATTTTACCTTGCATGGAGGATCAGCATCCTGTGGTTCTGGGCTTGACAAAACTGAAAATGGGATGTCCTGTAGTGACACACACTCATCATTCTGCCAAAAGGAAAGGAAAAAAAGACCCAGCTTGCTTGCTGAATAGCTAGTTATCAAAGTCCGTTTTGGATAAAGCATTGTCAGCTTTGCTGTTATAGTTCAGACTGAATTGAGCCTTTTCAATAACCCATAAGCAGTCTGCAAAGAATAAGCCCCAAGAACTACATTTCAATTGAAAACAAGCTTTTTAAAAAGCAGCAACTCCTCTAACATGATTTTTTGGGTCATGTTTCATATTTATTTTCCCCCTGATTCTGTAGAATCATATTTGCCCAACACTGCCTCTTTTTTAAAATCAAAATAAGATGCAATTACACACTTCTGGACTGAGACACAAATGCCAGGATATAAAACTATGTTAATTAACAAAAGCATAAGCAGTGAATCACATACACATATTCTTATGTAAAGCAAACAATCCCAAGCACCAACAGTTCTACTGTTCTGAAGAACAATTAGTGAAAAAAAATGGAGGAGTGCTATGGCCAAAAAGCCTTCATCTACTGAACATGACTAATCAATTAACACTTCACTTTTCAGAATTCTATGCATCTTCTCTATGTAAGAGTTATTATGAAAAAAAAAATAACATGTCCAACTGAAGCTAAAGTGAGCTGTAATAATTCATAGCTCATTTAAGGATTACTTATATTCAAAAGTAGTTTTCTTGCTAACAGTTTGACTAATACAGTACTAACTCACAGCCATGGTATCTAAATATCTGTGATGAATAAAAGGAAGAATACAGAACATAGTGTAAGAGCAGATTTATTTTTTTTATTTCTTTAAGAGAAATTTATTGAATTTAAGCATAGCAAGCAGAGGATCCCAAAAATGCCAAAAGCTAATTGCATGTCCATGTCCTAAAGCACTTGATAGGACATGAAGGCTAAGTACAGACATTTGGAGGCATTAGGGGGAGGTTAAATCAATTCAAAATGGCTCCCGATATCAGGCA